ACTTCCTCGTCAGGCTGCCTGTTGCCTGGCGCAGCTGGGACCTGGCCTCCTGGGCAGAGTTCACTCCTCCCTGCCTCCTGTCAGGCCTGACTCTGCCTGCCTTCTCTCCAGTGCCTCCTCGCTAGGCCTGGCTCCCATTGCCCCTTGTCTCTCAACTACCTCCCTCAGGGCTGCTGTCATCAGCCTCCTTGCCGCCCACTGACTGCAGGCCAGGCACCTCCCACCCACTCTCACTCTGAAATCTGACAGGCCACGTCCCCAACCCCAAAGCCTCAGTGGCCCCTCGCTCCCAGGACCCTCATGACGTGCCTCTGTTGACCTGCCAGCCTCATATCTCACTCGTCCTTCTGCTCTCCAGCCAGACTGAAAAAGTGCTGATTAGCCAACAAGCCAGCTTTTTCCTTTGCATGTGCTGTTCCCTCTGGCTGAAACCCCAGTCATCCTCCTTCTCAGGCCAGCCCAGCTCCTACCCGCTCTTCAGGATACAGCTCAGATCTCTCCTTGAGAAAGCCTTTCCTGACAGCCACCCCTCTCTCCTTCCACCTAGACTGGCTTACGTTCTGTGAGCTCCCATAATACCCCATTCTCACCCATCTCCTGCCGTGCTGGCTTGTACAATACTTTGGTCTGTTTCCCTCTGCTCCGTGAAATCTTTGTTGGAGTAATCTGTACGTAATTCATGATTATCTCCTTTGTGCAGGCACACAGCAGGTGTACAAAGGTTCAGTAAATGAACAAATGAGCACCTTATATTCCTTTGAGGGACTCTGTCTTCTCTACAGAGAAGCCCACATTCCCTTCCAGGGCCATGCTTCTGCCAGGATGAGGTGGGCTGCCAGAAGTACTTCTTTATTGTTTGGGGAGCAGGGAGGGAGGAGGAGGAGGGAGAAGATGCAGCTTCCTGTCCTGCCACTGTCTAGACCCCTTCGTAGCGTTGGACAGCCTCAGCGGTTACCCCTGTGTGGACGGGGGCACCCTGGGTTGGGCTCTGATGCCATATACTTGCTCTGCGGCATCTCCTTTAACCCCCACAACAACCATGCAAGGTAAGCACTATTATTACTGTTCCTATTTCAGAGATGTGGATCCAGGCTCAGAGAGGTGCAGGAACTCGCCCACAGTCACACAGCTGGTGGGGAGCAGAGCTGGGATTCCCACGTTCCTCTTACCTGACACCACAGCCACGCTCCCAACTCCCTGGCCAGTGATCTCTCTTTGGTAATAGATCCTGGATTAAATGGGCAGAGAGCAAACTTTTATGGATAAGGCCTTTTTAAAATTCTTGAAATGCTCCTCTTGTCTTTAGTAATTGCATCATCCATCAAGAAGTGCAACACCAGCATCCTTCCCTAAGCAACTTTAATTTTTTGCGTGCCCTGGCACAGAGAGGTTTTACTTTGGGCCTTCAATAGTGAATATGCCCTGCGGCGTTTTATTTTAAAGCTGGGCCTCTGAACACGTCTTGCGTGGGATGGGGTGAGCTGCTCGGGTGTTTGGTACCAGAGGTCAGCCACACGCCGTGGAACAAAAGGGGAGCGCCCCGCTCGTGGACAGTTCTGGGCTCTGAGTGGGACAGAGGATGTTGCCCCACAGTGTGCGGGATGCTCTGGGGCACCGAGGAGGTGGAAGCCATCATTCTGCACGAATGGCTGCCTTTTATTCTCCACTCCTAGCTGGGAAACGAGCTAGACAAAACATCTTTGTTTCAAAACGCTCCTGATATGAATAACAATGAGAACAATGACATTAACGAGAAGCACTCACTGGGCCCGACAACTTGCAAGGCATTGTCCTAAGCACTTTCTGTGTATTTGCTTACAGGACAACCCAGTGACGCAGGACGGCGGAAAGTAAGCAGAGACTCGATAAAGTGCTGAGGGCCGCAGGGGTAGCCACGGCAGCGAGCTGGGTTTCCAACCCTGGCTGGGAGCTGGAAGTGGAGGCCTTTTTGAAATCCTCTTTCCTGAGCTCCATCCCTTTTGGAACTTGCCTCCGCGCTGTGGCACTGTCTTGCATGTGAGGTCCCCGATGCCGCCTCCCCAGGAGCAGCTTCTGCCTGCCTTGGGACATGGGTGGTCTCTGTTTGGGGTGAAGGGGCAGGGATATCAGTTGGGGCGACCGCACTGCACTTGGGGGCACATTCTCAGTGCTTGTGCTCGAGTGAGTGCTTGTGATCCGCGTCAATAGCTGCAGTTTCTTGTGCTGAAATCCAGTGAAGGGCCACGTCGACCCATCACATTTGCAACATCTCCCTCCCCTCCTCTCTGGATGGTAAACTCCACAAGGTGGGACCAGTCCTTCACTGTACCTCCAGCTTCAGCACTGTGTCTGGTCAATTCACTTAAGTGTCCACACACGGGGACTGGGCAGGTGACAGGATAGGTAACTGGTCAGGTGGAGAAGCCACACTCACCTAGAAAATCGAGATGCCTGGGTGTCCCAGGTGGTCTGCCGACATATTGTCTATGGTGCACGTTAAAATTCTTCAGCGCAAACACGAAGGAGGTGGTAATTTCTTTTCTTTACATTCTACGGCCAGTTGGTTAACAACCGAGGGACTGAATTAGCTATAGACACTGCAGGAGTCTATTGCTAGACTCCTGGCAGTTTGAAAGATTAATATTTGAAATATTCTAATCCGAAGCCCACACTCCAGAGGTGACTGCTCCAAGCTCTGGTAACTAGAGTCAACACCAGCTTGATCTCGAACATTGGAGCAAGAGTCAATACTAATAAAGGCTAATGCGGGGGTTTAAAAAAAGTGATTTTCCAGTGTAAGATATACTGATTGACCAGAAACAGCGTACTGGTGTCTCTGTCCCGTGTGAACAGCCCACGGCATGGTGCCCTTGACTCCTGATTCCGAAGGCGTGTTTGTTTGTTTAGCTGTCCTGAGGAGGTCTTGTACTCTGGCTCTGATTAGAAAGTTAGCTGAATCTGCCTTTAGAATATTATCACTTCTGCCTTGAGTGAAACTTTCATGTAATTCTATAATAATCATTCTTGATGTTCTGTAACTGATGATTTGGCATCTTGACATCATGGGCAAAACTAACAAAGTTGTTTCCACCTACACCATGGCTATGTTTTCACGGGCACACAAAAGTCCTATTTCCAACCCTCCAACCACAAGCCTCAACATCTGTGTTTCCCTTCCACCTAACTACTTCCCACCACGGCAGTAACAGAGGCTCTCGCCCAGGCTTTCCCCTCGCTGCTTCCACCTCCTGATCAACCCTGGTGCTTCCCCATGTGGCCCTGCCTGGTGTGACATGCCCTCTCCTCTCGGGAGCTGTAAGTAATAAAGTTCTTTCAAAGGCACTTGTCTCTGTGTCTGTCATCCTACCATACCCAGTTAAAACGAATCCTGGGCATGTTTCAAAACGAATGCAAAGATGGGCATCGGAAAGATCAGAGAGCTAAGATCTCACCAAGCTGACAGCCTATGTTGTGGCTACTCGCTGATACAGGTCTGAATGGATGCTGCAATGCCCGCTGACACTGGCTTTCGTTGTATGTGCCACCTGGAGTGAGGTTGTGGGGAAGGAGGCTGACAGCCCTCACCCACCCCTGACTACGGGGGATTCCCCATAACTACCAGGAAGTACCATTAGTTGTGAACAGCAAACACAGCTTCGCCAGTTCTTCGTGTCTGCCATTTTCCGTGTGCTATTGTAGAACGTCCTGCCTACTCTTGGCACACTGTGTGTGCGTGGAGCCAGGTCTCCCCAGTGTGCTCCTTAGAGAAAGGATGACTGGTTTCTGCACTGTGATTTTTACGGCATGCCCGAGGGCAGAGCATCGTACATAAAGTGAAGTTTGGTACAGGCAGCTATAAAGACTCAGAGATGGAGCCCCCAATTTCTGGGCTTTGGTTTTCATTCTGCCCAGGGTGTCCCTGTGGCCTGGGTTAGTTGTTTTCGCTGTTTGAGTTTCTGTTCTCCTATTTGTAAAATAAGGTGGGACTATGGGGACAGGGGATGCCCCTGAAGCTTTTCCAGCTCTGTAGTGTAACTCCTTCTGTTTTTTTCTTTCTGTGCAAAAGAGCCTGGAAAAGCCAACATGAGACCCCGGCACATCCAAGGTGGTGTGGGGCACTGGGACCCCCAGAAAAGGAGCATCTGGATCTGATGGGAGTAGGAGCTCCACTGGAGGCTTCAGGAGGTACCCTCAGTAATGAAAGGTGAAGTGGAAGGAGCCAGAACATCCCACCCAGCAGAGACGAGGAAGAAGGATGGTGGAGGTGCCTTTGCCTATGGTCCACGGGACCACATGTGGTTCTGAGGAATCAGGGCAAGGGAGCCAAGCCGCTGTCACTATGACCCAGCAGGCAGGAGGCTGAGCACACAGATGACGTCAGAGCCAGGGAGGCTGCCAGTCCTGACGGCGTCCCGATGGAGAACCATTGCACGCCCTCAGAGGTCTTCACAACCCACACGTTAGCTGCTCGTCTTCTTATTTGAGAAACTCAGCTGGTTTAATGGCACCCCAGCAAGCCCAGACTCCTTTCTTTGGCCAACACCCTACCTGATCTGTCCTCCTTGTACCTCTCTGAACTTGGTTCTACCGTTCCAGCCACAAAGGCCTCCTTCTGTCCCTCCACCATGTCTGCTCATTCCTGACTCAGAACTGTGCTCACAGAAACACACCCTCACAGTCCCATTACCCTCTTTCCAGCCATCCCATCCAATGCTTTCACAGCGTTTAATCAGAACCTGCAACAACCATGTGTATTTAAGGTTTGGTTAAACTTTGTGGGGTCTGTCACCTTCATCTAGGCCAAGTAGGCTGGGGACCTTGTGGATCTGATCCATTCCTAGCACATATTAGGCACCCCATAAGTTTTTGTTGAATGAATGGATGAATGAATTCATGCAGCCACTGACATGTCACATAGTGATGACCTGGCTACTGTGAGTTAGCTGATAAACCATTTTCAAATTAGAACCCTGGAGGCAGGTGGGAGCACTATTGCTGGCCAAATTCACGTTTTAGGTTTATCGAATTTATTACCGTAATTCTGCAATAAAGGGGACTGACCTCTATGTTACCATTCCCAGGGGCTCTGAGGAATGAAAATATGCCAACCTAGAAATGTTCCATAGCGCTAATTACCTGGGAGCATTCACAGAAAAGGGCCCTGCCTGGCGAAATGGGCTTTGGTTTGTGACTGGGATCTCCACTCACTGTTGATGACTGAACCTCAAAAGTGGCAGCCCCAGCAGCGAGGCAGCTCTGCTGGGGTCAGGTGACCCCTCAGAGCAGGAGGAGACACATCCTAATGTCATACCAGGAGCGTAGTGCCATGTGCTTTGTTATTTCCTGCGCATTGTCAATGTGTAATCGGCCAACAGGCCTTTTCCCACCTAGAACTCAGTGGGATTTCCCACTTTCCCTAGGAAGAGAGTGGTCTCTGTGGATCTCTATATAATCTGCATCAGGAACGGCCTGTTAAAACGGATGATGGAGTGGGATGGGCCATCCTTCGACCAGAGCATGAGCTTGGTGGCTGTGGCTGCTGTGGCTGCTGTGGCCTCGGTGTCCTCCTCTCTGATGTCCAGCACAGGCTCGTGGGTGGCCTGCCAAGGGAAAAACAGACATCAGCAGCCCCTACGGAGATACCTGTACTTGACTGAGCTCCGGTGTTTTGCCTGGGAGTAGGGACGCCCCCTCAGGAGGCTTCAAGATTATACACGCCACACGCCTGGCCTTAGGTTTGCTCTGCCCATTGCTGCTCTCGTTGCTACTGGTCAATCGGCCCTTCCACGTGGAGTTGAATGGTCACAAACACAGACCAGAATGACCTGAGTTCGAGTCCTGGTCCTGCGACTTAATTATTGCAAAGTTATTTGGGGCCACGTGCTTCACTTTCCAAACCTACAAAAGGGTGATGACAATTGCACATATCCCCCGAGGTTATTTGGTCAGTTAAAGGAGATCATACAAAGCACGTATGCAGTAGTAGCTACAATTGTCGCACAGGAGACATAGATCAGGTATTATTAAATTATTAAATGATTATTAAACATTGGATCCCTTCTTGGTCTTCCAGGGAAGAGATTCTTAACCTGGGGTATATGTCCTCCTAAGCTTCCGGGGTCCTGAGAACTCCTGACAACTACAGCCATTATTTATGCACTTAAGCACATAAGAGGAGAGGTCCCTTATGCTCATCCTCTTCCAGTGGGACCTCTCTGCATTGCTTCCCTGGACACAATGACAAGGTCCCCTTCAGTGGCCCAGGACCACTTCTGACTATTATAATCTGTTATCAAAACTAAGTTTTACATCCAGGATCAGAAACCCATGTGCAGACAGGGGCTAGACGCCGAGACCTCTTGTAAGAGTACAGGAACCTGGAGGGCACCCTCTCGCTGAAAGGGGTGCTCCTGGCTCAGCTCTGGCTGACGGCTGCAGTGTAGAGGTTTGGGCTCACATTTGCCATGTGGAAATTGGGCTCGGTGATTTATTTAGAGAATGAGAAATTAGACTTTTACGTCTAATATCCTATGTTTTAGAAATCAGCTTTCTCTTTTTCTTCTTCTTTTTGTTTTTTAACACTGCAGGCCAAACACAACAGATCTACAGAGTACCAATGGCCCATGGCAGCTATGTCGTGACCTCAGTGTGAGCCCCTAGGTTTCAGGGAGGTGAGGTCGAATGCCAGGTGGGCACCTGCTTGTCTGCAGCAGGTGTTGGGGCCTAATTCTCAAAGAACTGTAGTTGGACCTGAGGAACATTTGTCTGAAGAGGGATCAAAGATGCCTGTGTATCAGAGGCACGATGGCTGTAAAGCCACAGGCCTGGTAGACATGAGATCCGGACCTACTTCTGCCACAAAGAAGTCACTTCGCCTCGCAGGACCTCTGTTTCCTTATCAATGAGATGAGAGTGCTCAATTAGCCAATCGCTATAAGCCCTTCCAGTCTGGGCAATATTTCATGGACCAACTCACTTTGGAAACCCACAGAAAGTCTTTCTTAGTGATTCCAGAAAAATGAGCATTTTTGTCAAAGGCATGCTGGATGCCCATCTTTGGGAGGATGGTTTCTAGATCATAGGAGGCAGAAATGGAAAATTTTGGAATCAACACCTCTATCCACCTGTGGAGAAGGAGAAAGAAAGAGGAGAGGTCACAACACCCTGGGTCTCCACCTCTGCTTCGAGGTGGCATTTCAGGAGACTCTGTTCCTCCTCTAGGCATGGCTGGTTGTGCTAAAGAAATCAACACATCCCTGACAACCAACCCAAGTTGCACTGGACATAAGCCTCCTGGATGAGCAAGTCCAGCTCTGAGAGATATGAGGTGAGAAATGGGTCCCCTAATGAAGTAGGGGACAGAGCAGAGATGGGGCCTCAGCAAGGGAGCCTATGGCAGAGACCAATGGGAGGCACTGGGCAGTGATGGAAGCGCATCTACCACCCCTGGCCCAGAGTCCCCCCCACCAGCCCTTCCTGAGACAAACCCTAGTAATCCTTGAGAGCAGCAAAGTCCAATAGAACTTCCTGCAAAGCCAGAAATACTCTGTACCTGCGCTGTCCAACATGGCAGCCACTAGCCACATGTGGTTATTGAGCAACTTAGATGTGGTTAGTGCCAACAAGGAACTCAATTTTTAATTTTACTTGATTTTAATTAATTAAAATTTAAATAATCACATGTGGCCACAATATTGGACAGCACAGCCCTAGAGTTTGGCACAATTTTTTCTTCCTCTGCAATGGTTTCACTGAATCAAGAGTGAACAGCCCACGTTTGTTGAGCATTTACTACGTGCCAGGTATTGTCCCAGGCACACTCATGAACATTATCTCCATGTTAAAGATGGTAAAGCTTAGTTTTGGTTGTTTGCCCAAGGTCATGTACTTAGTGAGTCAAAGAAATGAAAGCACAAAAGTGATGGATGGATACTTCAGTCCTCACTGATGGACTTCTTGTAACATCTAGCACAATGGACAGCTCTCTCTTCCCTATCACGGTCTCCTGTGCTGGCTTGGCCATCTCCATCTTCTCTCTGCTCTGTCTGCTGCTCTCTACAGCCACTCCTCCCCTCCTCTGTGCTGCCTCCTCCTCCTCTATCCAGCCCTGGTTGCAGTCTGAGATGAGAAGAAATCTCTGAAACATCCTATAATGTCTCCTGAACTCCAACTTAGCATCTTTGCTGGTGCTGTTTCCTTTACCAAAAATGCCCTTCCCAAGCTTCTATGTCCTATCCATACCTTCATGACCTAGCCATACCTTCATGTCCTATCCATACCTTCATGACCTAGCCACACCTTCATGTCCGAGCCACACCTTCATGTCCTAGGCATACCTTCATGTCCTAGCCATACTTGTGGCTCAGATGCACCACCTCCTTGAAGCCTTCCTTCAGTCCCAGCTGGAAGTGATCTCTCTTTGCTCAGAAGTTCCTCAGCACTCTGCCTACCCTCCCCTGGGGCATTAATCTTTGTCTTTCTTGAAATACAGTTATCCCTAATCCTGCCTTCTCTCTTCTCCTAGACTATAAATGCCTGGGAATGATGCTGACAACGCCAAAAAAAATATTGCTAAGAGACTGTACCTAAGACTTTGACATTCCTTTTTATCTTATGGTTAGCATCCTTTGATACTCTCCATAATAATTACAGAAATAACAATAATATTACTATTAGTTAAACATTTACTGAACACTTACTATCTCCCTGGCATTCTTCTGAGCACTTTATAAATAGTAACTTATTTTATCTTTTGAACAACCTATAAGATCAGTAATATTATTATCCTCATTTTATAGGTGAGCACTAATGGTTTTGTTGCTTGTCTATTTTTATGGAATCATTTTGTGGAATTCAATATCGAATGGGCAGGCAGAGAGAATAGCAACAGTGACATAATAGTGTTGTAGGAACATATTCGCTACGTGACCTTGGGCAATTCACTTCCCCTCTTGGAGTCTCTAGTTCCTTATCTGTGAATGGGGGTGATAAGGTGATAATAATTCTCATCTGTCAGGTGATTGTGAAGTTCAAGTGAGACCATGTATGCACAGCACCAAGCTCACTGTCCAGCATGCAGATGCTGCTCAATTTGCAGGAGTGACTATTCAATAGCAACTATCCTGGTCTTTTCCCCACCCTTGGATGTGCACCATCACCTGCCTCAGGCCCCAGCAAATTGACACAGGTGCCCACCTCTTCTGGAGTGAGTGGCTCCACTTCCTCAGTGTCCTGGCTGACAAGGCCTGTTCCAGCTGCCTCATGTTGCCCTGGCCAGGGAGGACAAAGAAGGCCATGATTTCTCCACTGTAGTCCTTCTGCAGTTCAGCTCCAGATCCACCCCAAAAGCAAATTGCTCCACCTGGTGCATCATCAGGACCTGCACAGTGGTTCCTTTGCCCACCAGGAATGGAAAGCTTTTACTTGCATCTTCAAGGTTAAAGGGCTTCTCCCACTTGGCTAGCACAAAGAGAGAAGAGAGATCTTTATGTCAAAGTGCAATTAATGAGGTAAGGATAGCAAAAATGGTAAAGTAAGGTACTCTGAAAACTCCCTCCTCCATAAAAGCAATGAGAAAACTGCCAACAACAGTCAGAACTTACTTTTTTAGAAATCTGGAAATTAACCAAATGCTTTCAGCAAACTGGGAACAATTTATTAAGAAAAACAGGTAATTTTGGTAAGAACAGTGAGCTCTGTGGCATTTTAACCTGCTCTAGTTCCATTCTCCACTCCCCAGCTCTCTAGTAGCCTTGAAAAATAATAGCCTGCATTTGCAGTGAAATCCAGCAGGCTGGCAGCCACTGAAGGGAAAAAATAGGGCTCGAACCCTTTCAAAGACTCATTCCCAAAGAATTGCCATCATATGACCGGTCTTGTGCTTCCCTGGAAGGCATCACTTGCAAAGCTGTCTGTATTTGATCTGATTTGGAGCTCAGACAATACAAAAAGCCTTGTCCTCAGGGGAAATTAGTCAAAAACAGTTACAGGCAGTGATAAGTTTTGCAGTTGCCTGAGGCAGTGGGTAACAGTTGAGGCAAACAATAGACTAGCCAAAAAGCTTAATAAGACAGGCTGGGGGTAGAGGTGGCATCAGCAAAAATGACAGAGTAAAGACCTCTGCATATTCACCCTTCCATAAAGCTAACAGGAAAAACTGGCAAAAATAGTCAGAATCAACTTTTTCAGGACTCTGGACATTAACCAAAGGCTTGCAGCTACCTGGGGAGAGTTTATTCAAGACAAATGGCTGAATCTCAATGAGAACAGACAACTTTGCGGCATTTTATCTTCCACTAGTTCCATCCTCTACTCTCCAGCTCAGCAATAACCTTGAAAAATAGCAGCCTGAATTCCCAATACCAGATGGAGAGGAACAGAGCTGGAGCTCTTTCAAAGTCTCATTTCCAAAGAATTAGCATTTTTTGACCTGTCCAACAATCCCTGGGAGATCCCACTTACAAGGCTGATTGGAGCTCACTCAGTGCTAAAAGCTGGCTCACCGGGGTTCAGGGAATATTTGTTAGAAACAATTACAGACAAGTGTTTAGCTTCACGGCTGCCTGGGCAAGGATAACGGATGGGACAAACAATAGACTAATCAAAAACTTTAAAAAAGGAAAAGCTGAGGAATAAGATGCCCATAATGGCAACGATATAGAACTGACACTACTAAGCGATTACAGCAAGCTTGCAGGATACAAGGTATATATACAAAAATCTATCATTTTTCTATATACCGGCAATGAACAAGTGGAATTTGATATTAAAAACACAAAACCATTTACATTAGCATCTAAAAAAATGAAATACTTAGGTATAAATCTAACAAAATATGTACAAGATCTATATGAAGAAAACTACAAAACTCTGATGAATGAAATCAAAGAACTAAATAAATGGAAAGATATTCCATATTCATGGATAGGAAGACTCAATATTGATAAGATGTCAGTTCTTCCCAACCTAATCTATAGATTCAAAGCAATCCCAATCAAAATCCTTGCAAGTTATATTGTAGAGATCAACAAACTGATTTTAAAGTTTATATCAAGATGCAAAAGACCCAGAATAGTCAACACAATATTAGAGGATAAGAACAAAGTTGGAGGACTGACACTATCTGGCTTCAAGACTTACTATAAAGCTACAGGATTCAAGACAGCGCGGTATTGGTGAAAGAGTAGACAGATAGATCAGTGGAACAGGATAGAGAGCCCAGAATTAGACCCACATAAAAATAGTCAGCTGATCTTTGACAAAGGAGCAAAGGCAATACAATGGAACAAAGATAGTCTTTTTAACAAATGGTGCTGGAATAACTGGCATTCACGTGCAAAAAAAAGAAAATGAATCTACACAAACACCTTACACATTTCACAAAAATTAGCTCAAAATGGATCACAAATGTAAACTACAAAACTATAGAACTCCTAGAAGATAACATAGAATAAAACCTCGATGACCTTGGGTACGGCAATAAATTTTAGATACAACACCAAAGTCACAATACATGAAAGAAACACTTGATAAGCTGGACTTAATTAAAATTCAAAACTTCTGTTCTGTGAAAGACAGTGTCAAGAGAATGAGAAGACAAGTCATAGACTGGGAAAAAAATATTTGCAAAAGAAACATCTGCTAAAGAACTGTTACCCAAAATATACAAAGAACTCTTAAAACTTAACAATAAGAAAACAAACAACTGGATTAAAAAATGGGCCCAAGACCTGGACAAGTACCTCATCAAGGAAGATACACAGATGGGAAATAAACACAGGAAAAGATGCTCCACATCATATGTCATCAGAGAAATGCAAATTAAAACAATAATGGGATATCACGACACACCTATCCAAATGGCCAAAATCTGGAACACTGACAACACCAAATGCTGGCAAGGACGTGGAGCAACAGGAATTCTCATACATTTCTGCAGGGAACGCAAACTGGTTCAGCCACTTTGGAAGACAGTGGTGGTTTCTTTCAAAACCAAACACACTTTTGCCATGCAATCCCACAATCATGCTCCTTAGTATAGGAATTTAAAACTTATGTCCACATAAAAACCTGCACATATTATATGATTCTATTTATACGAAAGGTACAGAATACGAAAAACTGTAGAGACAGGAAGTAGATTATTTGTTGCTGGGGAGAAGAGCAGGAATGTGAAGTGACTGCTAATGGATAAGGGGTTTCTTTTTGAGACGATGAAAATGTTCTGGCATTACATAGTGGAGGTGTTTCTACAACCTTTGGATATACTAAAATCCAGTAACCACTGAAGTGTGTACTTTAAAATTATGAACTTTATGATAAGAGATTAAAATTTCAATAAAAAATAAAATAAAGTTAAACAGAACAACATATACAGAGTACAGGAAACTTAGTAGAGACTCGAAGCATAGTATTTCTTTTCCCTTCTCCTCCCTCCTTGCAGAATGGCTGGATAGATGGGTGAAAGATAGGTGAATGAGTGGATAGAGGGACAAATGGATAGATAAATGGGTGGATGGATGAATGGAAGGAAGGAGAAAGGAAGGGGAGGGCAGGGAGGGAGAGAAGGTACAATAGCATCCATGACAACTCTGCCTGGAGAGTCCAGGCACTTCACCCAGAAGCACAACCCTGTGAAGTTGGCTTTATCATCCATCCATCCAGTCAGCATAGAGGCCGGCACACATCAGCCATTCATTACATGGTAATCTTTTAAATCAATACGCCCAGCATCATGGAGCAAGTAAGGGACAGAGGTGGAATTCAAACCCAGGGCTGTTCATTTAAAGCCAGTGCTCATTCTACTGCAACACAGTGTCTTTGTCAATTGTAAAGCTCTTGACAGACGTCCAGGGGACGTGAGTGACAGTTATACTGGCCTGTCTGCACTTCCACACCTATGAAAGTGTTCTCACCTTTGGATTTGCTTCTTAAACTGGGTTATCAGAGAGCTCGGTGTCCTTCCTGAAAAACTGTACAGAACAGTGGGGCAGCTGCTGGTTGCAAGAATTGAGGTCCTTTTCCCTAAGCTAACTTCCAGGAGATTTTTCCCATGGGCTGCCCACTGAGCTCAATGTCAGCCCCTCAGGACACATAATCAGGCTACCCAAATATCGAGTTTTCTTAGAGCTCAATGAGTCCCCACTGGAACTGATACTAAAACTAGTTGGAACTCGGGTCTTCCATTACTCCACCCTGCTGTTTAGGGTTTGCTTATTTGACTAGCGGACAAAAAAAGCAACAGAATGTTAAAATCAAAACCAACCTCTTAGAGCTTTACCCTTAAAGAAAATGTGGTTCTCCAGGACCATGGCTGTCAGAAGTTCAAGGCATTGAATTAAGTCCACAACCTTTCCTTTGGTCTCCTTCTCCACGTAGCTGTCGATCCTCTCCCAGGCAGTGGAGGTGGTGGAGAAATCTGTAGAGAGGACTTCTGACTCATACAGCCTCTTAACATTGTCCTAGAAATTTTTCTGCAGCTCCTTTTTGATGAAGAGGACACTCTCCATCTTCAAGTCCAGGTCTTTGCTGGGGACACTGAGTGCGTGGACCAGGAGCTGGCAGCCCTGGTGGATGGCAGGCTCTGACGTGTGTGTGAGATTGGAGCCCAGGCTCTGGAGGATCTGGGTTTTGGTGGCTGAGCGGGCCCCTAGTGAGAGCATAACCAGGGAAGCAGAGACAGTCATTGGGGAGAAGATGTTCTTACTTGGGGTCTTCAATGCCAGCTTCCAGTATAGTCGGAAGGCGAAGTTGGTGTTGCTGGAAGACATTTGAAAGGTGGGGCTGCTCTTTGTGGAGGAAGGAGGGGGGACCCCTCTGCTGGAGGGACCGGATGGGGGCACACAATAGATGGGAGCACCGAGGCCGACTACTAAGACAACTCGATAAAAGGAAGATGCCGTTTTGGAACGAAATAAGTCTGCAAGAGAGGAAAGAACCGTTAAGGGGAAGTAAGCTGAGGGTCCATCCCTGAATCAGAGACCTTGCAACATCCCGCACCGTTAGTGATAGAATGGGGACCAACAGGACAGTTAACAGAGCTGTTCTCTTATGTAACCTCATTTGATTCTCGCGATAACCCCACAATGTACATAGTATTATTGTCTTCACTTTACAAATGAGTGAACAGCCCCCAGAGAGGTTGTGTAAGTTACCCGAGGTCATACAGCTAGTCTGTGTTCTAGCTAGGCTTCAAAGTCAGGTCTCAAATCCCACATCCCACGCTCTTTGCCATTTCTGCTTTAAGGGCTTATTTTTCAGGAAGAGAGATGATGAAAGCAGATTGCAAAGTCCCAGTCTTAGCAGCCAGAATGATCTCTTACCTCCCAGAGAGCCCTCCAAACACTCTTTATCCGTTTGTATAGATCTGATCATTTTCTAGCCATGGCTGGCCCTCCCCAGCCACAGGCATTTACTGCCATGTTGAGGTCCCTCAAAAAGTGGAAACGCAGAGCCGAAGGCTGTCCTGGAAGTTTGGTCTTCCAGGGACCTCGAGTGAGGCTGGCCAGTTGCGGGGAGCCACTGGTTCCAGCCACAACTGCCTCCTCCCCCCGCAGGCCTAGCCCAGCAAGGCTTTGGCACCAGGAGGATTTCAAACTAAAGGACCCGATCGGAAGCTAGTCCTTTTGGAGTAGGACAGGGCTGGGCTTGCGTGCATCAACTCTGATGTTCGTGGCGGGCAGTTTTTTACCTCTCTGAATGTCAGTGTTCCTATTCTGCGCTGTAACAGAGGGACGATTATCTGCACCTTACAGAGTCATCCAGAGGATTCATGCAATAAGGTCTCTTGTCTATGTCAGGCCAGTCCAAACGTGATAGCCACGTTCCCAACCACCTCTTTGTGGAAACTGAATGTGTGTCAATTGAATACCATTTTCTCGTACTAGATGAGACGAAATTAGAAGGAAGTATGTGAAGAATCTCTGGCTGAATGAGCAATTCCTTTGGGAAATGGTAAAGTTCTCTCCGTTTCCGTTGATCTGATTCATCGATTTTTGTTTTGTAGTTTTGTGTCTGTTGTTTGACTCTCTAAGTGACAAATTGAAATGGCAAGCAATAGGATATATTGGAGTATATGAGGAAGCCATTTGGTATAAACCTAATTCGGCCTGAACTTGTCTTTCCAAAAGGGCCTGACCGAGGCCGTTGAGCATGCATTGTATATCTGCTTTAGAGATTCCCTATGGCGAGAGCAAAGGCCCTTGAGATAAAGGTGCAACTTCCCTCCCCCTCCCAACGTTGGCGTCTCCTTAAAGATTAAGCATGTTTCTTTAGGCTGGGAACCGATTGCAGTGCTCATCTGTGACCCCCCCAGCCCGAGGCAACACACCTGCCACCCCGCGGCGTTCACTGAGACAGCAGACCTATCTGCCGTTTTCATCAATTGCTGTGCTGACAGAGCAGCCTCGCGACTATTGTAAAAGGGACATTTCAATCATATGTGAAACATACTCTTTGAGGGTATATAACCACCCTGTATACCCCCACTTCTTTGGAGTGCTCTGTTCCTTTGTGGAAAGACTCTCCCGGGTTATAATCCTCAGATTTAAGCTCAGAATAAACTCACCCAAATTTTCATTTATAGATTGGTTATGGATTATTTTCGTCAACAGCTCTAAGCTACACTCACATATATTCACCCACATACCAGATTCTTCATCCACATGTTTGTTCTAAACCGACCTCCAAGCTACCCCCACCCTGAGCCTGCTCCTTCTTTCTCCTTCTCCAGGTGGTCACGTCACCCACGCCGTCATCCAAGACAGAAAACTGACCATCACTTTGCACTCCTGAGCCATCCGGGGGTGGGGGGGAGGGGTCAACTGTTCTACCTTCTTGAGACATCGCAAGCCCCACCTTCTCTCCATCTCCTTGCCCCGCCCTTGGTCCAGACTCTCCTCATCTCTTCCGTGGACAGCCCTGAAGACATCTAGACTATCTTCCTCCCTCTGGCCATGTTCCCTCAAATCAATTTTTCTCAGGGTTGCCAGAGTGAACTCCACCAGCCTGACTCTGGGCAAAGACCGTCTCTTGGGGGATGCAGGCAAAACCCTCCGTAGGGCACATGCCCTCCGAGAGTTGACCCCTTCCCCTCTCTTCGACCCCACTGCCCACCAGTACACCCATCTTCAGTCCTCCTGCACGCTACAGCAACAGCCAACTGCCCATGAGCTCCTTCGCTACAGCCCGTCTCCCCTCCCCCCACCCCACCCCCTACTACCAAAGCTTCTACGCCTCGGCTGGCTAAGCCTGATTCCTTTCCTGGGACACCCCCTCCTCTTGCCCATGGAAAAGCCCTTCTTTCTTTCTCTTGAAAACTCTACTTGGCCATGACCTTCTTGAGAGGTCCTTTCCAACCTTCCTGCCTGTTATAACTTCATCGCTCTCTCCCTTCTCTCCTCCCCTACTTCTGAAACCTGATTCTACTTCCATCACTGCGTGGATTATCATTGACTACGTGCGGGTCTTTCTAGTAATCTGTAGGTTCTTTGGGGATAGGGATCATTTATTTCTTGCATTCAATACCTTAAGTTGGACATGTTAACTCATTCGGGCTCTATAGGAGGCACTGGGGCTACAGTGGAGGACAGGGAAACAGAGTCCTTTCCCTTAAAGATCTTATTGGGGGCTGGACAATTGGCAAATACCACCAGGTGTGAGAAGAGAATGTGATGGGTAAGTACAAGCTTTGGGAATACCTATCTCACAGTAAGGACAGCTTTACCGGAAATGACAGCTCATTAAGACTTGAAAAATGTTAGCATGGGAAAGGGGACGAGAGGAGAAGAGAGGTTTAGGCCAAGAGAACTGCCTGTGCAAGGTCGATGTGACGAGCAGAAGAGAGTCCGTGAAATGCAATCTCAATACTAGAGGGGCTGGTGGGAAAGAGGACGACGGGCGTTGAGGGACAGGCTGCCGACATGAAAGGCCACGTGCAGGGATGTACAGACTGGACTCAGGGCCTTGGGGTCCACAATGGGGACTGATGCAGAGGACTGCCTCAATCAGAAGGAAGTTTCAAGGACTATTCTGGCAGCTAGATGTGTCCTTCATTGCTCTACCCACCCCCGGCACACAGCAGTGTGCAATGTAGGGCCTCAACAGACACTTGGTGCACCCACCTGAGTCGGAAGAGCGTTTACACCAGTGTCAGAACCAGGGTGGAACGGAACGAAGGAGAGACGAAAGTAGGCCTAAAACCCTGAGTTTCTCCTATTCAATGAGCTCTGTGTCAGGCTGGGGGTCTTCAGGAAGCCATGTGAGAATGTGGGGTCTGCAGAACCACTGGCCTCAGTGATTGAGTAGCAGCATTTGATCCTGACAGCCAACCAGGAGTCAGAGCCTAAGCAAGACCAGTGATTTCCTCCCAACCTCAGAGCAATAGATTACGTTTAAAGAAGGGCAGCCTTGTGCAAGCACCTGTGCATTGCGTCATGTCCCTGAGTCTTGCGCTCCCCTGTCTGTGAAAGATGGTGGCTCTTAGGAGAAGGTGAGACAGTCTGTATAGCGCCCAGCATGGCGTCCGACCCACAGCAGGCATGAGATCAAAGCTGCTTCTCCGTCGTGCCTCTTCTGATTTTACGTTCTTCCCTTGGAAGTGAGGTGAAGGGACAGGTTTGTCCCTGGATATTTGTGACTGTGAGAGAGGGTGGGGTTGAAGGAAGAGAGGGTCAGCTGTGCCCAGGGGGAAAGGAGCCACTGCCAGGCACAAGAATGAGGCGCCGCAGATTCCCAGGCCGTCCCACCAAGGCATGCACCCTTCTCTGGGGAGGCTTTCTGGGCGTGGGGGCTGTCAGGGGCACCTGCTAACACCCAGAGGGTCCACATGCCCATCAGCAGACATGGTCTTGATAAAGACATATGACTCCATGTCCCAAATCCTGCTGAATGGGGATCTGGGCTGGGCAGGGAGACCCACCTGAACTGGTAGTCACTCAGGGAGTCGGCTAGTAAGTGTTCCGGCCCCGCCATGGCCCTGGCCTGCATGTGACCCTGGGCCAGTCACTGCTTCTCTCCAGGCCTCAGGGGAAGGTGGCCTCAACAGGTTCCCTGCCTTGACAGTCTGGGCTTTCTGGCCACGGGCCTCAAGGGGCAGGTCTTCAGGCTCTCTGTGGAAAGCTCCGTGAAAAGCTCCTTCAGTCAGCTCTTCACATCCAACCTCTTTCCGCGCCTGGCCTCGCCCCATCCCAGACTCCCGTCCACCCTCGGTGCCCTTCTCTCTCCCAGCCCCCCGAAGGCCTCCGCCCCTTTCTCTGCTACGGCATGACTACGGCCTGGGGCTGTGTGAGCATGGGGCGACAGGCTCTGGGTGACAGGGACTGTGTCTTCTCAGTGCCTGGCCCTGCCTGGGCCCCTCCCTCCCAGCTGCCCCTGCCTTCATTCCACCTTCCATTGTCTCTCATTTGCTCAATTCCTCACTCGTCTCCCAGCTCCAGCCACTCACCCGCACTGCAGAAAGTGTGAGCTTGCTAGATGCAAATCTCATGTGTCACTCATCTGTTCAGATTCCTCAATTGACCTTGGGAGGAACACCCAAGTGCCTGGCATTCAAGGTCCTTCTCCACTGAGCCCCAGCTTACCTCCTCAGCTTCATCCTCGAGCTCACAGCTCTTCCAGTTTCCTGGAAAGGTTGCATCTCCCTCAGGCCACCCTCCCAAGCCTGATTTCATTTGCCTTCTTATCCAGCTTGAGTGTCGAAGGGCTCATTTCATCCCCAAACCTTACATTCCCTAGCGCCTTTGTCTTTGTGACACACACTGTTGGCCAGGCTCCAAACTTGGAATAACTCACCTCTCGGGTCCTTCTTTGCCAAGCGCTGGGGGGAAGGTGGCTCAGGAGGCAGTTTGGTCCACACCAAATTCCCAATCACCGATCTTTATTTGCCTGGCAAATAAAGCACCCATCAACTCACTCTCCCACTGACGGTAGAGGATATCTCAATCTTTCCCATTTCCTCAGGATGGACTCCTCACTCTGCCACATGTGCACACACACTCATACACATCACGCCACATTGCCTCCTATCTCACATAAAAGGGAGACCCTCAGAAAAGCAACTACCTCAACCTCCACCAGACACAGCCCCACCTTCCTCAGCTCTCCTCCCCTCCCCCTCTCCTTCTGAGGTCACTCTCCCTCCCTGATATTTAGATATCCTTTGTCTCCATCTCAGGACCCCTACACCTCTCTCTTCTGTGTGTACACACTCCCTCTCAACTGGATGCTTGCCTTTGATTTGTTGTTGTTGTTGTTTTAAGATTGGCACCTGAGCTAACAACTGTTGCCAATTTTTTTTTCTGCTTTATCTCCCCAAATCCCCCCTGGTACATAGTTGTATATCTTAGTTGCAGGTCCTTCCAGTTGTGGCATGTGGGACGCCACCTCAACGTGACCTGACGAGCAGTGCCATGTCCGCGCCCAGGATCTGAACCTGCCAAACCCTGGCCCGCCGCAGCGGAGCGGGCGAACTTAACCACTCGGCCACAGGGCCAGCCCCTTGCCTTTGACTTTTAAAGATGTTTGAGTCTTGCTCATTAAGACAAACAAACCACCACCAGCAACACAATAAAAATCCTCCTTTCACCCCCTCATTCCCTTCAAGCTACAGCCCTATCCCCATCCTCCCCATCACGGCCCAAATCCTCAACAGCTGTGTATTCATGGCTCCGTGGCCTCACCTCCTGCTCTTTCTCTGGCCCACTCCAGTTTGGCTTCTGGGTCCACAGAATCAGAATCAGCCTGGGAACCTGTCTAGGTTCTCGTCTTAACTGACTTCCCAGTAGCATCTGGCACTGGAGACCACATCTGGCTTCTTATCCAGTCTCTCCCTTTGGCTCTGTGACACCATGTTCTCCAGGATATCTCCCATCTCTCTGCTCCTCCTCCTTAGGCATCTTTGCGGGTTGCTCCTCTCCTCCCAGCCCTTATGCATTGGCAGCCTCAACACTGGTTACTTGCTTGTAGCGCTCTCCTCACTCTAACCTCTCCTCTCTCTCCAGCTGATCTCATTGCACCCTCAGCTTCATTACTAAGAGATGCACATCACTTATTATTTTTAATCTCCAGGCCAGACCTTTCCTCTGAGCTTATATATCTAACTGCCTACTTGGTATCTCCTCCTGATGAACCTTCAGCTCAGTATGACCCAAATTGAACTCAGACTCTTCCTGAACACAGTTTCCCAACAAAAGTTACAACCCAAATCTTCTTTCAACATCTTCGTTCATGGCACCCCCATTCACATAATTATTCAAGCCTAGGACCCATCCTTGCCTCTCCTGCTTCCTCATTCCCCAGGCTATTACATCACCTACCATTTTCAAAGTGTTCCGATAGCCTCCCATTTCCCAGAGTGGGCAGTGAAATCCTTAGTCCAAGCTGCATAGCCTGGGCTCCACTTCCTCCAACTGCACCACACATCTCAAAGCCTCTCGCTCCAGATTGTATGTCTAGCCTTCTGCCAATTTTTATGATTCCCACACGTGATATTTGTTGTTCCCTACTTCTGGAGTGTTCTCCTCACTCCTCTCACCAAACTTTTTCTCCTAATTAATTCCTATTCATTGTTTAGGTCCTGGCTCATGCCACTTTCTCAAGGAAGCTCTCTTGGACCACCCAGCTAAGGAAAATTCCTCCTATAAAATGTGTTTATAGTGCCATCAACTTCTTGGTGAAACATTCATCACAGAATTTCACATTTATTTGTGTGATTGAAATTTAATGAATCAGGGAACTTTCCTATCTTATTCACTGCTGTTTGGCCAATACTAAGGTCTTAGTAAGTGTTTGCTGACTGAATGAATGAATAAATGAATGAATGAACGGAAATAAAATAAAATGAGCAATTTACTTCTAAGGGGTGATACTGACTGGAAATAAGCAAAAGAAACTCTTTCAGGGTCTCATTTAGGGTGATAATTATACAGGCATGTACGTATATAAAATTTGAGTTGACTTACACTTCTAACCAAGACAAAGTCACTGATACTGGACTTGTAAACGGTTGTAAACAGTTAGAAAACATGACAAAAATGTATGAAACAATCAAGACACTAAAAAAATATATGAAGCAATTGAGACAGCGGACAACAGGCAGAGAAGGGAAACAGGTGAGGTAAGCCCGATGACTGTCTCGATTTTCTGCCTAAAGGCACTTTTCGACACAGAAAGAGAAACCCAAGGAAAGCACGACAAGCTCGCTGAGCTTAGAGACAGACATCAGAGTCTGGCAAAGCCGAGGAAGCTACAATTTGTGCAGCAAAAATGTGCATTAGCTTAAGTCCCCAGCTAAATGCTAAGATCTGCATGCGTACAGAGAAATTGCACAAGGCTGGTCCAACAAAAACAAAATCAAAACACTGCTGTGAAGATGCAAGCAGAGGAATTTCCAGAGTTCACACAGCATGGGAAGATACCTAGGCAATGACCAGCCAGAGTGAGGAGACCTCACGGAACACCTGGCACATTCAGTAGGGACCCTGGAAGTACCACATCTTGACATTAGGGCTAAACTAACTTTGGTTTGGAGCTACTGTAGACACCCTAACAAAGCTTGAAAACATGCCTCGACAGGATAAAGCAGTTCTGCAAATAATTTAGTTGGTTGTCAAAACAAGTGTCAACATATGATAAACGAAGACAACAAAAAACAGAAATTGTAAAGTCACCATGGCCAGCATCCAATCAAAAATTGCTAGACATTCTAAGAAATAGGAAAATGTGACCCATGACCAGAAGAAAAAAAATAAGTCAATAGGAAGAGATCTAGACATAACTGAGATTATGGAATTAATAGACAAGGACTATAAAACAGCTACTTAAAATATGCTTAAATAAGGGAAACATTAACATAATGTGAAAAAAACAATGTGTAAAAAAGTACCAAATTGAATTTTTGGAGATGAAAAATTCAATATCCCAAATGAAAAATTCACTGGCTAGGCTTAAGAGAAAATTTAATTGTAGAAGAAAAGATCAGAAGGCTTGAAAACATAGCAACAGGAATTATCCAAACTGAAGAAAACGAACCAGGGAAAAATAACAACAGAACCCCAGTGGCCCGTGGGACAAAATGAAGTGGTCTAACACATGTGTAGTTGGAGTCCTAGGCAAAAAGGGAGTCAGGGGGGAGCAGAAAAATTTTGAAGTAATAATGGCCAGAAATATTTGTGCAATTTCCTTGATGTAAATGATACCTAAATAAAAAAGATTAAATCCAATAAAATGAAACGAACGCAGCCCTGTCATTTCTTTCCCTATTCTGTATGATTGCACCTGATTCTCCGTCTGCCTGGACTGCCCTCCCCACCCTCCCCTCCTTTCTATCCTGCCAGCTCCAGTTCCAGATCACCCACCCCACAGAGTCTTCCTATATCCCACAGAAAGTCTGCCCCTCCCTTTGTAAGTGCCTGGAGCAAACCACAGCAGTTGACCGTCTCATGTGTCTGCCTCCCTGATTAGACAGGCTGGACCTCATGTGGCTTCCTCCAGGCAGCGACCCTGATCAGCAAGTGGTGGGCAGAGAGGGAGAAGAATGAGGGGAAGATAAAGATGGAGGAGGGAGTGGAAGGCAGCGGGAAGAACGTTGGGAAGCCCAAGGGCCAGGCTCTGTTAACTCGCCCACGACCAGGAACTTTTGTAAAGGCTACCATTGGTGAAACAGGTTGGCAGCCTGAAGAAGAATGGGGTTTCCCAAGCTGGCTTAATTGTCAAGAGAACCTGTCTTCTCATTAAAAGGCAGATCCTCCCTCTACGACTTTTGCCCTTGACCCAGAAAGAAGCTCTCCAAGACCACCTCCAGCTCCGAGCCCCTCAGTTCCTGGGGCCTTAGGGCCTCCTGGGAAAGCAAAGGCATGTTTTTCCCCAAATTCATAAGACCAATCCTGCTGGAGAAGCGACAAAGCAGGAGCAGATCCCCTTGGGCCCATCCAAGGTCCCATCAAGATGGAGCTTGATCCCAAGTCCAGCCTCCT